AGGGAGGCGGGAGGGGGGATAGGGATGGGAAACACATGTAAATCCATGGCTGATTCATGTCAATGTATGGCAAAAACCACTACAATATTATAAAGTAATTAGCCTCTAACTAATAAAAATAAATGAAAAAAAAATACATCATCAAGAACATGAGAAAGTATGCAGCCAAGAAAGGAAGATGTGGAAAGTGGGATCTTACAAAGAAAAAGTCTTCTATAAAACTGCCTTCAAGTCAAGTCAGTAATAAAATTCATACATAACAACAACAAAAAAAAGAACAGGTGGATAGATTGTGCTGTATTTTACAGCAAGAATAATAAATGATCTCAACTACACACAACTCCATGCCAGACCTCAAAGAGAACAAACTGTTATGACTCACTTGATACAAGTTTCAATACAGGCAAAGGCATCCAATGGTGTTAGAAGTCAAGACAGGCATTATCCTGGGTGGACTCAGGGAGGGGGCATCTATGATTATGCTAACACTCTGTTTCTTGAGCTTCATGCCATGACACATGCGTGTTTGCCTCGTACATCTAAGTTTTTGCACTTTCTGATATCTAAGCTATACTTTGACAAAATTTATCAAAAGGGGAAAAAACGGAAAAAGAAATGCAAGGGACTTTCCTGGTGGTCCACTGGCTGGGTCCACGCTCCCAATGCAGGGGGCCCGGGTCCAATCCTTGGTCAGGGAACTAGATCCCACAAGCTGCAGCTAAGAGTTAGCATGCCTCAACTAAAGATCCCATGTGCTGCAACTAAGACCCCGTGCAGCCAAATAATTATTTTAAAAAAGAAATCCAAGGGCATGTTCAGCAATTCCAATTCTAGCAAATTATTCTTGCATGTGGACAGACAATGCGTGGATGATGTCCCAGAAAACTGGAAATAGCCTAAATTCCCTGGTGATTTAAGCAGGAGTGGTTAAGTACAACAGCCGTATAACGGAACAGTTACTTAACCATGATAAAACACAAGGGTTATCTTTGTGTACAGACATGCAACAGCCTCACAGACGCATTATGAAATCAGCCAGCAAGATTCAGCAGGCGCATAGATCATTATCCTCTGTGTAAAAGTGTTTCTTATATACACAGATTCTGGTAGGACCCACGAGAAGTGGTGGGAGTCTAGCTGGTGGCGACATGCTCCGCTGTATACAGGAGGCCCAGTCTGCCTGCTGGACTGCGCTCTCCCCTAGACAGTGTGGGGCCTGGTGCCAATGAGGGATTTGGTGATGGCTCAGAGTGAATGACTTGTGCCTGTCTTCAGTTTATAAGCATGTCAATATCTCACTGACTATAAGAAGGACCAGAATGTGGGGTCTGGCAGCAACCTCAGCTTGGGGTGAGTGTGTGTGTGTGTGTGCACGTGCATGCTCATGCATGTGTGTGCGGGGATGTATACAAAGGCTTCATGGAGAAGCAGTAACTGGGTAAAGGTGGTGGAGAAAGGAGGAGGGACGAGCATAAGACCTGTCCGTCTGTCACATGGACACATATAGGAAGGACAATGCCTTATGCCTGCAGAGCCCTGAGCCAGCCTGCTGTCCAGGGAGCAGAAACTGAGCTGCTGGTGAGAGGAACTGCTACTGTAGATTTCCAGAGGGCTGCCGCCACCTCCTCTTCTACAGTGACACAGCCAGCCATGTGGCCTGGCCACACTGGCAGAGCTGGCGTTTGCATCCAGGTCTGACTTCAAAATCCTGCACTTAGCACCTGGCTGAGCTGACTTGCCATTCAGAGGTCAAGAAGGGCTTCACTGAGGAGTCACACTGAAGTGTTAGAGAGTAAAAGTGGAGAAGGGAAGGGGTGTTCCATGCAGAGGGAATGCCACTTACAAAGTAGAAGAGAGTGACTTCATGTGGTGTAGGGGACATGGGACTCTGTACCGGGGCTATGGGTCAGGAGGGAAAAGGATTTGGGGGACGGGTTTGAATGGTGCAGGAAGCTCTGGCAGGGGCCTGGTTATGCAGACTCATGGAGTCCCACCTAAGGAGTAAGTCTCAGTCCCATAGCTCTTTGGATTCCAAACTGAGGGTTTCATAACATCTCTACTTCTGGAAGATCACTCTGGCAGTGAGATGAGAGGCAGGCTGCAGGCGATGAAGCTAAGGGCAGAGAGACCCACTGGGAAGCAGTGGAATAATTCAGGTGAAAAAAGGAGAAAAGATGGTGGCTTGAACCACAGCAGGAGTAGGCAATGGAGAGAAGTTAAGAGTTTGAGGGGTATTTAGGAAGAAGAACAACACAAAGTAACTGGCAGAAGAAAGCAAGTGTAGGTAAGGGAAGGGTCAAAGGTGACTCTCAGATTTCTGGATGAAGGGATGAGGTACCTGGTGGGTTTCCTTCCGGAGGTGAGAAATCCAGACTGTGGTAGAATGGAAATTCGGTTTCAAGGACATTGAATTAGACGTGTCTGCAGCATGTCCAAGGTTGGAGGGGGTGGGGGTGGGGGGATGGTGTTGGCCTTCATTCACTCATTCAACCAACGGTTACTGTGCTTGCACTTAACCTGGCACCGGAGGTTCACGATGAATCAGACAAGGTCCCTAACTACTTGGGAGGAGGGTTCCTTCTGGTTGAGAGACAGTTAACAAATAACTAAAGAAACAGAAAGGTTACAGGCCATGAAAAGTACTGGGAATGATCTGAAGATGAAATGGACAGAAGCCGGAGGCCAGCTTATGATCCCTCTGCCCAAAAGAGCAGGCCTGTCGCGGAATATGTCCAGAACCCTTGGCCCCATCTGCTTACTTATCCGTACAAGCCGGAGGGCCTGGTGCTCTGGTGGCCTGTTCCTTAGGCTCAGGGATTCTTTTCCTAGGAGCCAGTCCCCACAGGGCAGGTTTCCTTTCCTTTCACCTGCTCTCAGCATTTAGGGCCGAGGTTTCCTGACCGTGGCCTCTGTACCGTGAACTTTGCCAACCCATATCCTAGCTCAGCAAGCATGGGTCACGTGAGTGGATGAAAGGTGGTCTCATGCCTCGCTGCAGGCTGCAGGGGAGTACAAATAAACTCAGCCTGCTCTTTAGGAACTTTGAGCTGCCGAATGGATAAACCACACCCAAAGAGATACAGGAAACCGAAATGCTGGTGGGAGGTGGGATAGGCGAAGGGAGCGGGAGTGGGGGTTGGGGGTTGGCATCTCTCATTCAGGCCTGAAGACGTCCCAGAGTGGCGTGACGCTCACACCTGGTCTGGGGAGAATGGGTTTCACCAGGTTACTTTTGGGTGGGCATCCGTCTTGCCCTCAATTCCCCACTCCCCCTGAACTAAGCGGAAGCTGCAGCACGGAGCTGCCTGGAGACGGGGGATGGGGGCAGGGCGGCGCGTCCAGCAGACACAGGTCTAGAAGCTTGGGCTCTGGACATCTGCTGCAAAGAGCAGATGCAGGAAACGTAACCTGGGGCTCAAGAAAGCAAAATCTGGGTAGAGGCCTCTAGGTGAGCCGCCTCCACTGTGCGGATTCACTCGGTGGGGACCTGCGTTCTAGCAGGCTGCGGGCAGTGCCCCCCCTCCCACGCCTTTAAGCGCAGTCCTTCTCCCTAGCCAACTCCTTAGGCTCAGGGACTACCCCGGCCCCAGCTGTGCGGTCAGTCCCCAGCGCCTGGCCGCCCGGCGAGCAGCCGCAGCCGTGGCAGTCACATCGCATCGCAGCGGCGCCGCCGCCGCCGCGGCCGCCGCCAGGACCTTTCCCCTACTTTCCAGGGCCTCAGGCCCCGCCCCGTCGCCGCGACCAAAACACGTGCCGCGTCCCGCCCTGCCCGATCACGCCGCGGCCAGGCTCTGATCACGCGGCCCGGCCCGGCGCCGATTGGCCGGCGGCGAACGGGCCGGGCGCGGAATGGGAACCCCGGCGGGTTCGGCCGCCGGGAGGGGCGGGAAGGGGGCGTGTGCCTCGCGCCGCTCCACGCGCAGCTTTGTCCGGCGCTGCCGCAGCGACCCCGCCCTGCCAGCCCCCGGGTGCGGGGCTATTTCCAGCCATGACGTCACCAGATCCGGTGAGGAGGGGGCCGTTGGGCGGGGCGCGACCGGCGGGAACGCGAGGCGAGGGCTGCGAGGGGCGGGGCGCCGGCAGAGGGGCGGGGAAATGCCGAGGGGCGGGGCGAGGGCTGCGGGGGCGGGGCGTCGGCGGAGGGGCTGGGACTGTGGGAACGCGGCCCGCAGGTGGTGAAAAGGCCGAGGGGCGGGGCAAAGCTGGCCGGAGGGTGGGGCGGGGAAAGGGGCGGGGCAATGCCGAGGGGGCGGAGCAAGGCGTGAGCCGGGCTGGGTGCTCTCCGAGGTTCGGGGACTGTGGGAACGCGGCCCGCCGGCGGTGAAAAGGCCGTTGGGGCGGGGCAACAGCTGGCGGGAAGGTGGAGGCGGGACGAGGGCTGCGGGGTCGGGGTGCCGGAGGAGGGGCGGGGACTGTGGGAAGGCGGCCCGTAGGCGGCGGAAGGCCGAGGGGGCGGGGCAACAGCTGGCGGGAAGATGGAGGTGGGGCGAGGGCTGGCGGGAAGGCAGCACGCGGGGGGCGGGGCGCCAGGCCTCTACCCCGACGGTGCTACGGTCCAGTCCTGAGGGTCGCGCGGAGTTCGCTGGCTGCGCCTGGGGCCTAGTCGTCGAACCGCGCGGGCCGCTGAGGAGCCGAGAGAGAAGTCCGGGGGACCCGCACCGCCCTGTTCCTCCTCGCCAAGTAGGCGGCAGGCCCCATATCTGTGAGTTTGCAACTCCTTCCGAGGAGGCCCGGAGCGGCGGGCCGAAGCTTCGGGCAGAAGCGGGGCCAGAGCGGCCTTTGTAAAAGGCAGCAGCGTTTCCTGGGTCCTGGCTGTCGGGTAGGGGGCAACCTGGGCAGGACAGGTGGGATATTGAGGCAAACTGACTAGAAAGTCCAATATTTTGGCCACCTGATGCGAAGAACTGACTCATTGGAAAAGACTCTGGTGCTGGCAAAGATTGAAGGCAGAAGGAGAAGGGGACGACAGGGGATGAGATGGTTGGAAGACATCACCAGTGTGATGGACATGAGTTTGAGCAAGCTCGGGGAGTTGGTGGTGGACAAGGAGGCCTTGCATCCTGCATTCCGTGAGGTCGCAAAGAGTCGAATATTGACCGAGCAACTGAAATGACTAGAAGTGTGTATCTTCCTAGATGTAAAGTTTCTTTGGGAAGCAGATCCCTTCCAGTCGCTTCCTGCCCCTCTCTTGCTTAAAAAGACAGGGTGCTGCGCTGGAAGGCCCTCAGGCCCCGGGCTGGTGGCGGATCTTACACTTTCTTTCGTCGTCTCGCTGGCTTGGTGGCCTCAGAAGTGACTCAATGCCCCTGGGTGTGGGGATGCCGAACAGCACAGGCTCTCCTGCCCTGAGCTCTGCTGAGCAATGGGTGCCCTGCCTGCTGTGGGTCCTCCAGGGTTGTCACAGACGCGTCTGCGGGGATCCTCGGGTGGCTTCGCCAGCCGTGGCTCTCATCTCAGCTGACCTGAGCCATGGGTGTCTTTTCTCCTCGGCCGGGGACAGTTAGGTACTAGACAGGCTCACACCTCTAGAAATAAGTCTTATTATCCATTTTACTTAAGGAAGACAGGAACTTAATCTTTGTTAAGCATCAGGGTTTCCTGTGAAAGCCACTGGCCAGCTGAGTTCATTTCTCCTCCTCCCTTTGGCAGAATGCTATCTTGGGGCTCGGTGGTCCTTGGGTGCTCTGTGGGCATCCTTCCTGAAAGCCAGTGTGCGTCCACGTGCTGCCGGTGGTGCTTGGTGGGCTGCCTTGCGCATCTCCATCCTGTCTGTCGGGGTGCCCCTCCCTGTGTTTCCAGGGACTGGGGAGCCATCCTGTTGTTCTGCCTTTAGGTTGACATCATGGACATATGTGAGTCAATCCTGGAGAGGAAGCGACATGACAGCGAGAGGTCCACATGCAGCATGTTGGAGCAGAATGATATGGAAGCTGTGGAGGCTCTTGTTTGCATGAGCTCCTGGGGTCAGAGATCCCAGAAAGCCGACCTGTTGAAGATCAGACCCCTCACACCTGTCTCTGACTCTGGGGATGTCACCACATCAGTGCATGTGGACATGGCCCCACCCGAGCTACCAAAGGACTTCCATTCTCTATCAACTCTGGTAAGAGGGAAGGAGAGGAGTAGTTATTGCAATGACTGAAGTACGTTCATTAAATGTGCTGAAAAGATCCTAGGTAGATTTGCCTGATGCTGGCTAGCAAGTTCATGTCCTCCTGCTGTGTGGGTCCAGAAGGTGAAAACTTCTTTTTCTCTTGAAAATAGCTTTCTGTTGATGGTAGTTTGTAGCCATGGGGTGAAAATGTCCAGCGACGGAAACCTGCAGTTTCATGGGAGAAAGCAAAGTGTACTGATTTTCCTGGAAAACTGTAGGGCAGGGCTTCGGTTCCCCCAGATACCCCAGTCCAGGATCAGGATCCAACTGCTGCAGCTGGGGAAGGCCTGTGCTCTGGTGCCAGGTGGCCTTTGTTAGCTGGATTGAAAGCCTGGCCTCTCTGGCAGCCAGCTTCTTTCTTGGGTGAGTTGGGTGCAGTCAGGCACTGGTTTTGGTTTTTTTAACTTGCTACAACTATGAAGTTCCCGGAGAAAACTTGCTTGTCAACTTGGAGACGTTGGGCGCTGTCAGTTGCCAACAAAACTGAAGATTATAATCTGATTGTCCTGGGCTGGAAGCTTGTATTGAAAGGAGTGTGGAAAACTGACATGGAGGGATGAGAAGGAACTTGTGGGTAGTAGAGAGGGTTGTCCGGCTAGTGGGCCTCGCTACCCAGACAGGTCTGACTCTAGGGTGACGTGCCGGGCTGCCTTGGGCCCCCCACACAGTTCCTCTGGCCCAGCCCCCAATGCCTGGTCACCCCTGTGTCCACTTTCTTGTCCTTTCCATGTATGTCCACATGACAGACATCCAGGTCTTAGCTTACGCTGGTTCCTTCTTCTTTCTCCTCCTCCTCTACCCAGATACCACTTCTCCGTCAAGCCTTTCTGCGCACACACACACCATACCACACACGCACGCCCCCACCCACCTGGGTTGAGGTGCCCTGCCTCATGCTCTCAGAGTTATTTGGCATTGGAATTTTCCACTCAGAGGCTGAAAATAAGTGGGAATTGTTGCAGCAGGGGGTCCGTTACACAAAGAGAGGCTTGGTTTAGACAGAACCCCTGATTGGAACATGACCTTTTAGGGATCATTCAGTTAGGTTTTACTTTGCATTCAGTAGGCACAGGATACATGTGTGATTGATGGATAAGTGTGATGATTTCCACTAGAATTTTTAAAGGTTTTTTGAGAATCTAGAATTATCATGTAAAGCACTCATCTTGAACATAGATTTTTATCTCTCATTTGTAGTCCTAATGTTTAAATTGTCCATTTCTGTTGATGTGGGAGGCAAAGCATGGCATTGGTTATCTTACAACTGAGCAAATGGATGCCTTTGAGAGAGAGGGCAGGAAAAGGGGAGAAAGCTAGGAAGTAGAGCAGCTGATGCAGCCTTTGTATCCACTGGGTGCTACTGTGAGCAGACCTCGATCAGTCTTTTCTAGATACTTCTTTGTAAAGGCCTTGGGGAGACAACATGATCAAAGTAAGTTTCTTAAAATTTAACCAGAACAACCTTTTCACGTGGTAATTTTGTTTGTGTGTTTTTTTTAAGTGCATGACTCCTCCTCAGAGCCCTGACCTCCTGGAACCATTGACAGGGACAGTTGTTCCTTCGCAAGTAACTGCTTCCAAAGCCCCCGTGGTCATGGCGGTCCCCCCAGCCTCTGCTGGGGCTGCCAGAGTGCTGAGCAGGACGGTGGAGGGGGGCCTGCCTTGTCCGAAACCGGAGTTGCTGGAGTCAGCTGCCAGCCCGCCCTGCAAGGCCACGGTGACGGGTATCACTGGCCATGCTGGCGGGAGTCCTGCTCCTGCCCACCATTCCTGTCCCACCGCCCAGACTCAAGAACACCAGCTTCCAGCTTGCACAGAAGGAGAAGCACAGTTCCTGGGGCACGTTGAAACTTTGCAGGACATGCACCTCACAGACAGTTTACTTAGCATGAACTCAGTGTCCTGTCAACCTTGCTTGCACAAGTCCAGTGGCCTGATCTCCGCCGATAAAGGCCAGCAGGCAGGGTGGCCCATTGCAGTTCAGACCTGCTCACCAAAGAGTTATGAAAACGACTTGGCAAGGAAAGCCACCCCTCTGATTTCCGTCCCCATTCCTAGTACCCCTGTCCTCTGCCAAATGATCCCTGTGACTGGACCCAGTGGCCTGTTACCAGCTGTTCTAAAGCCACCTCCCCAGGTGTCTGCGGGGCTTGTCAAGCCCGTCTTGCCCCACGCGGCTCCCGCGCCCCCACCTGTGTTCGTGGGACCGTCTGTGCCTCAGGGAACTGTGATGCTGCTTCTGCCCCAGGGCGCCCTCCCCCAGCCTGCCACGTGCTCAGCCGGCAGCATGCCTGTTGGGAACTCCAGGTACCTACCCCTTGCGCCTGCTCCAGTATTCATTGCATCCAGTCAGAGCTGTGCCCCTCAGGTAGACTTTTCCCGAAGGAGGAACTATGTTTGCCACTTTCCAGGCTGCCGGAAAACCTACTTCAAAAGTTCCCACCTCAAGGCTCATCTCCGCACTCACACAGGTGAGTACTGCAGGGTAGGTAGGGTGTGGGGAGGTCNGGTCTTACATTTAGATCTTTAATCCATTTTGAGTTTATTTTTGTGTATGGTGTTAGAAAGTGTTCTAGTTTCATTCTTTTACAGGTGGTTGACCAGTTTTGCCAGCACCACTTGTTAAAGAGGTTGTCTTTTTTCCATTGTATATTCTTGCCTCTACAGTCCTGTTCATTCCGTCCAGAAGGATTTTCAGCAGTGATGGAAAGTTTTCTGGTCATTAGGAGGGTAGCTACCAGTGACACACACTTGAAATGTGAACAGTGTGTCTGAGGAACCTAGTTTTACGTTTTCATAGAGTTTGCATTTATATAGCTACATGGCACTGGTGTGGAGAAGGAAATGGCAACCCACTCCAGTACTCTTGCCTGGAAAATCCCATGATGGAGGAGCCTGGTGGACTACAGTCCATGGGGTCACAAAGAGTTCCCACACGACTGAGCAACTTCACTTTCACTTTTCACTTTCATGCATCGGAGAAGGAAATGGCAACCCACTCCAGTGTTCTTGCCTGGGGAATCCCAGGGACGGAGGAGCCTGGTGGGCTGCTCTCTGTGGGGTCGCGGAGAGTCAGACACGACTGAAGTGACTTAGCAGCAGCAGCAGCATGGTGCTGGTGGCTAACACGTTTACCTGGGATGTGAGGTTGCTGGTAGATGGAACTTCTGTTTTTTGATTGATTTGGCCTGAGTGCCTCAGTGGCTCTCTTACTCTGACTTAGTGTCAGTTCTGTTTTCAAGGGTCCTGTCGCTAAATAGTCTGCTCACTAAATTCAGCTTACAAAGATTCACACACATTCATACATGAAAGCACAGTAAGAGGTCACAGGTTCTGTAGTCAAGATGTGTTTCATAAGTGCTGTTGATCATGGAATCTAGGTGTCTGCTGGTGGCCTGGGGGACAGCAGTGAATTGTGGAATATAGCTGAGGAAAAGCCGAACTGAAGAGAGTGGTTATGGCAGTTTACTCTGAGATGCATTTGAGGTAGAGTGGTTTGTAATTAGCACATTAAAAGTCTAACCGTAGTAGCTCCCACTTGCAGAATGAAGTTGCATCTGGAACGCAGGCCTTATAGGAGCTCTACCACCCTCCCCGCTGTGGAGGGGCTGTGTGCTTCAGGGATGAGCCCCACACCTCGCCCATGAAGAAGTTGCCTCTCTGGCTTCACCTCTCTGCAGCCCCACAATGCCCCTGTTCACCCTCTGCCCATCTCTACTTACTGAAAACCCTGTAAGAGCCAGTTCTTAAAGTATCTCCTCATTTCTCCTCCTTTCTTTGCCCCTAGTGGTTTGCTGTGTTTTTCACCACGTTCTCCCTTTGTGTTTTAGTTACTTCTATACTTGTCTGATTTCACTGAATATACACTCAGTGTCTGTCACAGGAGCCTGACTCTAGTGAGTCATGATTGATTACTGGTGCAGCAGGGTCAGTGTGAACAGGTATCTCTGAGGGGCTCCTTGACTTGGCAAGCTCTACTTCTCACGTGTCAGTGAGCTTCACATACTGAGGTGAGCCTCAGATCCCGTCCAAACACAGATTCCACATCTGGGGATGCCGTGGGATGATGTCTTACTGTTCATTCGGTCAGCTTCCCTTGGTAGAAATACTGACAGGATGGCATGAAATAAGGTGATCAAGCAAGCTGTCTTCAGGTTTCCCAAAGTTCTTAAGTGTCAGTAACCATAAAGGTTCTGAAGAATCCAGTTCCGGTGCTACTTTGTACACACTGAATTGGAGTTTTTGTAATAAACAGAAACCTTGGCTAAGTTTACATTAGATAAGATGATTTTTCACTGTACCAACCTGAAAATGTTTTCCTTAGCATAAGGTAGAGTGGGCAAAGGCTACATTTTTGCTAAGTTGAAAACATGGGACACTTTATAAATCCCACACCAAAGGGTTGTCTCTCTCCAACATCTGGCCACCTGGTATGCTGCCACCGGTGGTGGTTTCTGGAAACGGGTAACCTTATGATTTCAACACGGGGTCTTTGAAATCCAAGAAGTGTGAGCCCTTTTTCTTAGAGTGGTTCATAAAAACCACTGGGATGCTGAATTTTCCTGTTAAATCTGCTTTGAAAATACCAAATATTTAGTTAATGTCTCTTCAGCACTCATTCACTCAGAACCATTTATTCACCACCTATCATACAAACTGATGTGCCGGGGGCTAAACTACATAGATGGATGAACTAGACAAGTCATCAACCTTCTAGGAGGAAGGCCATGACACCATGCAACAGCATTTAACATATCCGTTCACAAGGCTACACAAGCAGTGTATGATGGTCACAGCCTGGTCAAGGTGAGGGCTTCGGGAGGCAGGAAAGGGCGCACTCCTACTGGCTGGAAAGGCCCAAAAGGACTTTGCAGACAGGTGCTCCCTGGCTCGCCTCCGTACCTCCAGGGAGACACAGTATATATAGGCGGGACTCCTGCCAGGTGCTCTGAAATGAAGTGAATGACAGAAGCATGAGGCTTGTGACAATAAAAAGTTAGCTATTAGAATTCTAACCAGTCTTGTAATTAACCTCATCATCAGTGTAATAACAGACATGAAGATGGATTTAATGATTCTGAGAAGTCGTGAAGGTCCTGGGAAGGTTTTTTTTAAAGATGTGCAGCTTCAGAGAGCAAAGGAATTCTTCTTTTATTTATCTTTTTTTAGGAATTGTTTTCAAGAATCTTCCTCCTACCCCAAGTTCACAGTCAAAGATTTTAATTTGAAAACATGGTATGGCATCCCTTATATGTGGAATCTGAAAAGAAATGATACAAATGAACTTACTTACGAACCAGAAAGAGACTTAGAAAACGAACTTATGGTTGCCAGGAGGACGGAATGGTTAGGGGGTTTGGGATGGACATGTACACACTGCTCTGTTCAGAATGCATGACCACCAGGGTCCTACTGGACAGCACAGGGAACTCTGCTCAGTTATGTGGCAGCCTGGATGGGAGGGCAGTTTGGGGGAGAATGGATAAATGTATATGTATGTTTGAGTCCCTTTGCTGTTCACCTGAAACTGTCACAGCATTGTTAATTGGCTGCACCCCAATGCAGAATAGAAAGTTCAAAGATAACAATAAAGATTAGATTAATTCAACATCCTGGGGCCCTGACATGTTGCGTCTTAGGTGTGGCAGGAAGAAACACATCTTGGACAATTTCTTGACTTCCAAATAACCTATTACCGGAATAATAGGTATTACTTGTCTCTTAGGTTTTCATGAACAGAATTTTAAAACAACATGACTTAACGTGTCCATTAAGGTGCCGGGCATTTACGTTTCTCATATGTTTTCTCGCCCCTCAGGAGAGAAGCCTTTCAGCTGCAGCTGGGACGGCTGCGACAAGAAATTTGCTCGTTCAGATGAACTCTCTCGCCACCGCAGAACTCACACTGGGGAGAAGAAGTTCGTGTGCCCAGTGTGCGACCGGCGTTTCATGCGCAGCGACCACCTGACGAAACACGCCCGGCGCCATGTGGCCACCAAGAGGGTCCCCGGCTGGCAGGCAGCGTTCGGCAGGCTGAACAGAGCGGCCTCCACAGAGGACCCTGGGGGCCCGCCGGAGCGTGCGCCGGCCTCTGCCTGAAAGGGCTGCGGGGGGGGGGGGGTAATGGATGGGAATTTTCCAAAGCCTTTTTTTTTTTTTTTTCAGGAATCATGGAAGTGATGGTTTTCTCTCCAAAAACAACAGCAAAAAGTTGTCCTGAGGGCCAGGGGAGCTGGTTCTGATGAACGTTATGTTAACTTGTCTTTTTTTAGGTTGGGACCCTGTTAAGTATCTTTTGTACTTTCAGAAGTTCTTTTAAGGAAATGGAAGAAAATTTGGTAATCTAAATCACCAGCATTCAGACACACAGTTTGGCAATAAATTTTGCAAAATTTGGATTTTTACAACCTTCCTATTCCTGTTTTGTAGGATTGAGACAGGGTACTAATTTTTATACTGTTTTTTATAAAAAAGATACTTATATTGTTGGTTCTCAGATCACCGATTTCTATATAGATGATTTTACAGTCTTCTTTTAAGTGTTTAACATTTTTATAGTAACCCTGCTTTTGGTAAAGTTGACACATTATTCAGGCAAAAAAAAAATTTATAGCTCTGCAATCAGGCTTTTTAGATCTACGAGGTTTTAAAATCAGAACTAGTTGAATAGGGGCCTCTTAAAGAAATGGGTGCGGGGGAAAACCTTTGCAGGCAGCTTCTTCCTAATACTCTCAAGGGAAATTCCAGACAAGAGTTTCTTTTAAGGCTTTATGTAGCCCAAGGAATTAGAATTTTCTTTAAGTAGAACTTAGTCACCTGTGTCCGTGGTGTGACTTGTGAAGATTGTGCCCCAGAGATGAGCTTAAAATAATCAGTAGATATCCAGTGAGCAGGGAGCTGCTGTAGCATCTAAGTGTCTGTGGTCAATTCACAGTCCCTTGTCTGTACCTCAGACACCAAGAAAAGATGACTTAAGCACTCAGACCCAGCTGCTCTGTCCCTTTGACTTCCTTTGCTGTGGCCTTACCCAAGTGTTTTGTGGGTAGAATCACTTCTTAGAGAAAAAGATGTCCTTAGTTGTTGGAGGAACTTTCCATCGAAGGAAAGCTTATGTGAGGTGAAGTAGCTGTGTGCGGTCCAGCTGCCGTGTTCCAATTCCTTTGTTTATTAAGTATTGGTGATAAGGAATGTTAGTAACACTGAACAGCAATAATCCTACCAAGCTGTCCTTTCATTCACATTGTTGGAAGGGAGTTGTTTTGATCAAACAGAACAGTACTTGGAATGGGGTATTTTGCCTGGAGAAGAGGCCACGGGCCTCACTGAAGCCGTGAGCACAGGTCCCAGCATTGTAGAGACTGCACCCTGGTGTCCAGGAAGCTGCTGAGACTGCCTCCACTGGGCAGCCTTGGGAACTCAGGCAAGAGGAGGTGTGTAAGGACCATGGCAATGTCGCTCTGCCCTTTGAGCCTGGGAATGGTTTGTCATGCTGTATGTAATCAGATTCTGTCTTTGCTGCTTATTTATTTGCATTTGCCTTTATTAAAATGATGGTAAGGTGAAATATTGAGTAAGTACAATTAGGCTTTGTGTTCAGGTCTTTTTTAGTCTTGATAGCACTCACCCAGTCATTCATTGTATGTCAGTTGATACCCATTAAGTTACCCTTTAGTATCAACCGCTGATTGACATACAGGTCTGTAAGTGCTGGCTGTGTTTCAGAGGCTTCGTGTCTTTGATCACTTCTATAGCTAAATATTCCTACTGGTCGTGAGACATACTGTAGTTACAAGAGAACCAGAATTCAATGTACATAGCTCGTGTTTCCCCACCACCCCATCCTTTCTCCCACTCATGCCCTAGATCAGCATAAACATTGCTATGTGTATGCTGTAAATGGCATTAAATTCGGATATTTTTCATAACTAACACAAAATAATATTGGTCTGACTAAGGTTCTGGTGCATAATAAGTCTCTGAGTGTTTGGTTGCTTGTCATACTGAATGAAGTTCATTCTCTGAACAGTGTTGTTTTTGAAGAATAGATGTGCAAAAAAGGAAAAAAGCTTTTGATTTACACTTCCATTTCCTGATGAGACTTTGAAATACCTTCTGTAAACATTTTGGGCCCTCTGTTGTTGATGGAAAGATTGCAAGTTGGGAAACAGCTTCACCTGACAAACGCAACGTGAGAACCGGAGCCTCGCAGGGCGTGTTCAGCATGAGGTCCCTCCGTGCGCCGGGGCGTCGGAGGAGCGCGCGGGAGGCACGGCCCCTAGTGCACTTTACTGCCCAAGCAGTTTTGCTTGTTCTTCTTTGACTTTGAGCCTTTTAAAGTAGTTTCAATGATAAAATTTTAAATGTTTCAGAATTATGTTTTATGTAACAGACTTTGACGTATTATTTAAATGAATATGTGTGATATAACTCTTTTCTTTGAATCATATAAAACTCTTTGGATTTGCAAACTGGACCTGTGTCCTGAACTGTGATGTACTGTTTCACTGTACTATAATGTACCCAGTGCCTGACTACCACCCTCCATCTTTGTTTTCTGGGATTCTGTTCGGCTTTCAGGTTCTTCGGAGGATTCTTTCTGAAAGAAATCATGTGAAGAGGCAGTTTCCATGTTGGCCGCTCTGACATCGGTACTGGTCTTGGCAGAACAGGACCATCGGTGCCGGGTAACCCACGACCCTTGTCCTCAGGCTCTCTATGTGAAGAGTGGGGATAGGAGGCAGTCGCGTACCCAACCCAGGCTTCCAAAGAACATCCAGGAGCCATAGCCTTCACGCCTGCTACTGGAGTCAGTTCAGTTCAGTCACTCAGTCGTGTCTGACTCTTTGCGACCCCATGGACTGCATCATGCCAGGCCTCCCTGTCCATACCAACTCCCGGAGTTTACTTAAACTCATGTCCGTTGAGTCGGTGATGCCATCCAACCATCTCATCCTCTCTCGTCCCCTTCTCTTCCCGCCTTCAATCTTTCCCAGCATCAGGGTCTTTTCTAATGAGTCAGTTCTTTGCATCAGGTGGCCAAAGGGTTGGAGTTTCAGCTTTAGCATCAGTCCTTCCAATGAATATTCAGGACTGATTTCCTTTAGGATGTACTGGCTGGATCTCCTGCAGTTCAGGGGACCCTCTCAAGAGTCTTCTCCAACACCACAGTTCAAAAGCATCAATTCTTTGGCTCTCAGCTTTATGGTCCAACTCTCACATCCATACATCACTACTGGAAAAACCACATCTTTGACCAGACGGACCTTTGTTGGCAAAGTAATGTGAGTACGTTCTTGCTAAGCCACTGTGCTGGGGCTGTGTGTCCACACCCCACCAGAGGCGGCCCAGTGGCCTCGGTTCCTGGTCCTCTTCAGGCTCGTCTGTCAGCAGCCCTGGACAGGGTCGATGGCTCCCCTGCAAGCCACACCACCCTACTGTCCTCTTAACCTCACTGCTCCTCCTCTGTCTTCGTTCCTCTCCCTGACCCCTCTTGTACTCTCTTCACAACCTTGGTGATCTTTTCCAGCCTTGTGATTTAGATCAAAATGATCTCTCTACCATAAAGACCCCCGCATTTTTGTCTCTCCTTTACACTTATGCACCTGGCTTCAAATTCCTATATCCAGCTGTCTGCTTGATACCGGTCTAACCAGCATCCCAACCTATAAATGATCAAACTCCTCAACTCCCCCTGCCCAGACACTTGCTTTTCTAACAGTTGACCCCACTGTCTTTAAAAATAATAGGGAGTCTATCCTTCTAGCTGTTCAGGTGCAAAACCTTGGAGCACCTGAGACAGGCCTGGGTGCAGATCTGACTCCATGTAGCTGTGTTTGGCTGAGAAAGATACTGGACCTTTAGTTTCCTTATTTATAAAGTGAAGACTAGGTAGAAAGCAGGGGCCTGTCTCAGGGTCTGGCACTTATATTTTGCACATAGAAGAAAAAGCCCTAGTTGTTTACCAAAAGCAACCAGGGATCCTTGAAGGGTAACTGCTTGGAGCATGGATATAACAGAATGGGCTTAAAGTATTCTGTTGCCATCTGCCGTCAAGGGTGTCAGGGACTGCTAAATGGCACAGGGCTCCCACTGGCCAAGCTGTGACAGTTTAAAGATGAACATAATAGTAATAGGAATTTCACACTTTTACCCAAGATGGAGTTACAGGAAAAGCCAAATATACTCTCACACCCAAAATAAAGTTATCAAACGAGAGTTTTCTAGGAACTAGACCTTAGGTCATGAAAGACAGTGACCCAGAGAGACAGGATGTAAATGGGGTGCACCCTGTAACTGCCCAGATTTGCGGCTTTGAGGAAATTGCCAGACTGTGATGCAGGGACAGGAACTCATGAGAGACCCAGCAGAGTCCCCAAGCTGAGCAGATGGAGCTGAGGGTCCAGGGATGCCAAGGTGATGGGGTGTGGGGCAGGGTGCCAAGGTAGAGAAACAGCCCAGAAAACCCAGGAGATCTAGAGGGTGTGTCTAGTGGGGAGGAGAACACCTTGACACCGAAGGCAAATCGTGTGCACAGGGGTGCGTGTCTATCCTCTGGGCTGAAGAGTCATTACTCGCATCACTTCTCAAAGCGCGACCCAACATGGTTGGATCGGGGCTTGAGGCTAAGGCTGCGTGGAGAAGCACACGGCGCGGGTGCTGGGCCAGGGGAGTGGCTGGGCCTCGGGCTTGGTGTGTTGGGTACCTGACCCCTCGCGGCCCCTGCTTGGTATTGGAACCCGGGGAGATGTCTATGTGTGTGTGGATCACGAGAGCTGGGACAGGAGGTGCCCAGACGGTTTTGCTGAGGGACATCCCTACCAAGGGGGGGGTCTTCCCAGGTGGCACAGAGGTAAAGAACCTGCCTGCCAATGCAGAAGACGCGGGAAACCCAGGTTCAATCCCTGGGTTGGGAAGATCCCCTGGAGAAGGGAATGGTAACCCACTCCAGTATTCCTGCCTGGGAAATCCCATGGACAGAGGAGCCTGGAGGGCTGTAGTCTGTGGGGTCGCAAAGAGTTAGAGATGGCTGAGCTACTGAAGAACAACAAGCTTTTCTGGAGCACTGATGAGTATGCCTCTGCTCACTAGAATCAGTGCGTCCTCACTGGTGGGGACCAGATACTGCTACCAGAACCCTGGCATCTCGTAGACGGCCTGACTCAAAGCAGCAGGGGCTCAGAAAATGAAAATGAATGTGGGTTGAACAGATGCTCGTGGGAACATCCACCCTCCCGTGCAATCTCAGCCCACCCAGAATGGCAGCCCAGTGAGAATCAGACCTGAGACTTTGGCACATCAAGGGGAGTGTCCTGGGAAAAACTTATTTTAGGTGAGGATGGGGAGCCTGAGCTGGGCAGGACCCCTTTGAGAAGGCCTGTGGCTGGCAGAATGAGGGCCATGGCTCCCTCCCCAGGAGGAAGGACACCACATTTCTCAGAGCCGGGGATGGGGCGCATTTTCTAAATTCCCGTGCTTGGGAGCCTCTTAGAGGAACCCGCCACCACACAAAGCAGGAGGCACGTCTGTGGCACTGAGACTTTTCTGGACATCAAAGTGTCATTGTCACTTTCAACACAGACGTTTTTCTTCCTGCCGCTGTTTCAGCCACATTCCCTGTGTCCATGAGAAGATCCCACACTCAGCTCCACGGCAGAAAGCTGCAGCTCAGAGGCAACACCAAGCGACCATGAGAAAGCCTGGAGCAGCGCGGGGCACCCAGGTGGCCCTGTCCACATGCCTAGTGCAAGAAGCACTTGCTACCAGGCTGGCACCGGATTCCCCACCACCAAGTGTGATCAGCCTGCCTCCCCTGGACACAGGGTGGCAACACCTCAAAGCTGGGACACGCCGCTTTATTGTCAAACACCATCCAGAAGACACATTTTTTTCCTGAATTGGGGGAATAAAAAAAATATGAAGACCTGAGAATGACCGCTATGACTTCTCAGCTTTGATGAAGTGCATTCACCCCATCGGTGACATCAAATGTCATGAGGAATTCTTTTCCTTAATGCTTTTGTTTCGTAAAGGGTTTTATGAGGTTTCCACGGGAAAGTACAGGGTGTCAACTTTCTGGCTGAATTAATTCACCAAATGAATGATGTAAAACTAAACATTTACATCGTTAAAGTCAAGGCCTTATCTGTCTAGTAGGGAGAAATGAAATTTTAACTTCAAAAAGAAGTATCTGTATTATTATGATAATAACAGGTTTAATCTTCATATTAAAACAAATGGTTTGGGCTTGGATGAGAAATAGCTCTGGTTTGGGGGAGGTTCTGAGCCAACCCTCTGGGGCATTTGCTGGAAGGATCCATGGTTCCATCAAAGCCTCGAAGTTTAAAATCTCCCTGCCATGAAACACCTGATCAAAGGCACCTTTGCCAAGTCACCGAGGTTTGTGGAAATGCCTGTTTGCCCATTTGGGCAGCAAGCCTGTGACCTGGGCACGGTGCCAGGTGGCCGTTCCTCGAGCCCTGAGATGCTCTTGCAGGTGACGCTGTGGAGGAATCACCTGTACGTGGGTGGGGAACACTGGACAAGCTGAGACCCATTCTGGCTTCTGGAGGCGAACAGGTACCCTCTACGTGCCCTTCTTTTTTTACCCATGTCCTGGCCAGCTGCTCTGGAGGGCCTGCCTCCCAGGTCTCCCGCCTCCTGGGCTCTTGACCGCCTGCTACCCTGAACTTTCAGACAGCAGCCACGCTGGGCCCACAGCAGGGGCCTCCCTTCCAGTCAGGCTGCGGGTTTCCCCCAGGGCCCCCTGGTTCACAAGGCATTGGCTTCCTCATTTGTCCACTGGGGATGTTCTAAGGCTCTTCTGGCCTCACTGCTGTGATTTTTCTTCCTTCTACCAGGTGGAAGAGCAGGTGGCCCTGAGCAGGTGAGACTGGGGCTCACCCCCAGCAGGGGAGGCAGTCCCGTGCCCCCAGGGGAACAAGGAGACCAAGGACACCTGGGATGTGTAATCCCAGATGGTCAGAGCAGGGGGGTGGGGGGCACTCCTCTGGGACTCACTTTCTAGAGAGGGACCCCAAGGCCCAGAGTGGGGAAGTGACTGCAGGTTAGTTCGAGGGCAAGGATCAGAACTGGGGACTCTGGCTCTGGTCCCCCCACAACACACACACACTGCAGGAGCACACGCCTCTCTCTGGGGAGGGGGGTGGACTATGGCTCTGAGCAGCCTCCGGCACCAGGGAAGGAAGATCCAGCCAGGCAGAAGGCTTGGGCTCAGTCCCTGCCACTCTGGGCGCAGCTGGGACCCAGCAGCCTGGGTCTCACCTGGGAACTGGTGAGACCTGCAGACTCAGAGGCCGTGCCCCAGACCCATGGAATCAGAATCTGCAACATCTCCATGAGACTCATTCGCAGACCCAAGGGTGACTCCCTCCAGCTCGGCAAGGCATACCTCCTGGATGTGCCCTCCCGTGGGAGACCTCCCCGGGGTGCTATGGGACGCGTGTGAGGCCCTGTAGCCTCGGGTCTGAGCCACACTCAGCTAATGAGCCTCCTTCAGAGCACGTGACGAGTGGGCATCAGAAAGGGAAAGTGTTTCAGGATTCAAGAGACCCTTGTATATGGCTCTCCCCGGCACTCGCACCTTCCTTCTTCCTGGGTCTGCACGGCTGATCATCTCTTGCCAGCAAGCACGATGGCCAGCAGCCAGCCATGTTCAGAACTGTCTGAATGTGGATTTGAAGAGGCCAGTTGTGAAAGATCTTGGAACGTGCGCCCCCAGCCCAGTTCCGGTCAGCTGGGGCTGGGTCTGGGAGGAATGGCACGTTGGTTGGTTGCTGGGTGACGGTGAGGCTGCTGCTGCACCGGCCTCAGCAGCAGTACTCCCGCTCGATGCTGGCCATCAGCTCCTCCTCGGAGTAGTCATATGTGATGGCCGACTGCCTCTCCGGCTTCTTGTGGCAGCCGCCTGGGGCCCTGTGGGTGAGAAACACAGACACGGAAAGCAAGATGTTACCTTCAAACTCCACATCTCTACTGGACAACTGCAGTTGCCGTGGATGGAATTCTGATCCATCCTCAAACTCAGACTGAAAAACCTCTGCCCTGGGGACACATCCTCAACCTCTTCCATGAGCAGCTCCTGACTCATTCTTCAGTTTCATCTCCCACTGTGTAACCCAAGACCTTACCTTGTGAGGAAGCCCGTGACTGCAGTGCTTCAGGGCGAGGGCCCCGGGGGTCAAAAGACCTGGTTTGCATCCCAGCTCGGCCACTTACTAGCTTAGTCACAGTTTTCTCTAAAATGGAACTGCATTCCTAAGTTCATTCTGAGGCATAAATTAGACCATGCGTGGACGGCATGTGACCCTGAATCTTGCACCCTGCAGAGCCCTCAGAAAGGTAAGCGGTGTCGAGATTCTCTATGGGCTGACTCACTCCTTTTGTCTGCACCCTCAGGGGCTCTCGCAGGAGCTGCCCCTATAGGACAGGATTCGGCGTCGGGGTCCTCTGGATCGTGACCAGGCCCCCCACCCACGGGGCAGTGTATTAAGTGACCAAGTCCTGGCTCCTCGTCCCACTGCTTGGACTCTGGTTCCCACCAGCCTCGACCCGCAGCCCACGACTTCTCCAGCTTTCTGGACTTCGCTGTGACCCCAGACTCCCCTGAGGAGGGAAGGGGCTGGCAGTCCAGACCCTGGGGAGGGCCTGTGTGGCTTCAGAGCCTGCTCCCCGAGGGCACAGCCCTGACCACACCTGCAAAACTCTCCCCTTCCAGTTGCTGTGCCAGGACCCGCCTGGGAGTCACCCAGCCCTGAGCCCAGGGCCTAGGGTGGTACTCAGCACGCTCTCACCGAAGTCTATTGAGGGAGTGAATGAATGAATGAAGTACTCCTGGTGAAGGACATCCTGGAATGTACATGTGAGGGGAAGGGACCTATTTGTTTCAAAATAAGAATAAATAGCTAATTCTTTCAAGGCGGAATTTAATCCTCCTAACGTTCTTAGGTTAGGTTGATGAAAACTGAAAATCACTGCCAGTTATCTTTACAATCAGTAGAAATACGAAGCTGGGACTGAGCAGTGTGGGCACCAGGCTGGGCCTGTGTCCCCAGCATCGCCATAGGCACGGGTTTCCAGGTCAGCTGAGCAGAGCTAGCCGCTGGTACCTGGTCACTGCATTGTACCCGGCGCCCAGTCCCGTATGAGAGCCCACGGGGCCGAGCCCCCCTGGAGCTGGTGTGCAAGGCACGGCCGGTGCTGTCTGCAGAACGCATGAGGGGCAGGGGGCTGCCAGGGAGGATGGGTAGGGATTCTCCACTCTGCCGAGGGAGGCTCTGGCCTTGGCGGGAGGCTGAGTCAGTGTACAGGCTCTCACCGCTCCACCTCCAGGGCCATGATGGAGGCCCCGTGCCCACCCAGCCTCCTCCTACTTAACAGCAGTGGCCCTGAGGCAGGAAACAGATGGGCCCCCTCCCTATGGTAAAGCAATTGAGATACATTCTCTATGTTCTGAAACTCCAAGACGAGAATAGAAGGGCAATTAAGGGGGGAGGCTGGACCTTGCACAAATCACATATTTCTCATTCCCAAAGTCAGGAGACCTCCCCAACCATACGTGCATAGAAAAGGCTCCTTGGAGGTCAAAAGAGGAGCAATGTCAAGGGATGCTCTACCCAGACACCTTTCCGGTAGGATCCATCTTGGCTAAGAGATACCTGTGCACATATGGGAGGATCCTGAGCTATACAAAATATGGACTGTGAACCAGGCAAATCAGAATGATTGGCCAAAGGAAAATTGGAAGAAAATATCCCATAAAAGTGGAGAAAACATTGGCAATCCACTCCAGTATTCTTGCCTGGAGAGTCCCAGGGACAGAGGAGTCTGGCAGGCTGCAGTCCAGGGGTGGCAAAGAGTCAGATGCAACTAAGCAACTAACACTACACTACTACTACTATTATGTGGAGAAGGAAACAGCAACCCACTCCAGTATTCTTGCCTGGAGAATCCCAGGGACAGAGGAACCTAATGGGCTACAGTCCACAGGGTCGCAAAGAGTCGGACACAACTGAGTGACTAAACCACCACCACCACCATCCCATAAAAGTAATTCAAACTACTATGAGAGCACCGCTCAGCAACTCAGGGACTATCCCGCTGAGTCCGCCCTGTATCTATCCACGGACAGTACTCTTTTCCCTGCTAATAAATACTTTGACTTGCTTCACTACTTTTTGTCTTTGTGGATATTTTTTCCTGCAAAGCTGAAGGGCCAGGGTCCTTATCACTGACCACTGGTCTAGGGACCAGGATCTGGTGCTCTCAACGCCGTGACCCAACCCATCTCTGGCTGGGAACCCAACCCCGCTCCAAGCTGTTGCAGGCCAGGCCACCCACAGCTCTTGGTTTCAGCCCTCCTTCTCCCCCAGACCCTGTTCTAAATGCCACCAGCCTGTGATCAGGGTCCTGTTCACACCTCCACACCTTGCTCGTGGCTCCAGCCACCTGGAGCGCTCCTGCCCTCCTCGGTGAAACCACTTGTCCTCCAAGCCATTGAAGCCTCAGCTCCTCCATGAGCCCTCTGGCTGCTTCTGTCCCCTCTTGGACCTCCCTTGAGCCCATCTGAAGAGACCCCACTCTTCAGGGAAAGGCTTTTGCAAATGTTTGTTAAATAAGGGAACCCAGCAAGGTTCTGGCCCCGCAACCATTTGGAATTGGTAATAAAAAGAGCTGTTGAGTCAGCGTTTTCACAGCTTCTCACATCCATGGTCTTGAGCACCACCATCCCCTGTGTCCCAGGGACAAGGGCCATCACGGTGACTCCTTAGAGATGAGAAAGCAAGGCCAGATGGGCCGTGGCCCAGGTCAGCCCAGCCCAGCCTCCTAGTGCAGGGTGCTCTGGGGGCCCTGGGAATCCTCACACAGCCCAGGGCCATGCCGACACCGGAGGCCTGGAATCCTCAGCTGACACATTCCAGGGGGTTTAAATGTGTTTTCCTGCTAACACTGTAATAGGATTATTGGGGACCCACCCGTCACCCCTCTAGGCTGGAAAGTCCTGAAGGCCAGGACTGCGCCTCATTCACAGATGAGCACTGCACAGTTTCTGAGTGAACGAGTGAGGGCAGGAGCAGAGATGCAGGTGCTTGGGGGGTGGCAGGGGAGGGGAGCTGTGATTTCTTGCAGAGATGCACCTCCCTGCCCCATACTTACTCAGAGACATGGCTGCCCTCTGGGTGGTCTTCAGCGCTCTGCTTTGGGGACACCTTGAGAAGGACAAACCGAAGAGGCATCAGAAGGTTGTTGGTGCTGCAGCCTGCCTTTGCACTGGCTTCCTGCTGACAGAGAGCCACTGCGTTCAACCCACAGCTAATAAACGAGCGCTGGAAAGTGGAAGGTCTCCCCTGGTGTCTAACTCCTAACTGCCTGTTCTGTAGGTGGGAAGCTGAGGCTGAGGGGAGTGACCTACACAGCTCGCACTAAGAGACCCCCCACCCCTTCCTCCCTGGGAGCTACCGACCAGCAAGCCCCACCTCTCACTCTGGGAGTGGAGGTCCTGACCTCCATCCAAGCCCTTGCCTGGCAGCCTGCCCTGCTGCTCTGCTACACCTTGTCTGTCCGGAGTCAGGAGTGCACAGGCGTCGCACACGTCTGTCTGCAAATTCTACCCATGATCTATGCCTGTCCTGTTGCCAGCACCGCCCGGTCTCAGTAACCACAGCTTCAGATGAAGCTGGACTGGTCCTGGTTCTTTGCACTTCTAAACATGTGTGTTGTAGTCAGCTTGTCCCCCTTGGGGGTTTTGTTGGGGTTGAATCAATATGCAAATCATTCCAGGCAGACTTGATATCTTTTTTAAAAAATTGGAGTATAATTGCTTTATAGTGTGGTGTTCGATTCTGCTGTACAATGAAGCGAATCCGTATACATATAGCGAATGTAGTATACATATATCCTCTGCCTCTTGAGCCTCCCTCTCCCCCCCACCCCCCCCATGTCATCGCAGAGCACCAAGCTGAGCTCCCTGTGCTACACAGCAGCTTCCCACCAGCCATCTGTTTTATACATGGCAGTGTATAGATATGGGCTTCCCTGGTGGCTCAGATGGCAAAGAATCTGCCTGCAACTCAGGAAACCTGGGTGCGATCCATGGGTTGGGAAGATCCCCTGGAGGAAGGCATGGCAACCCACTGCAGTATTCTTTCCTGGAGAATCCCATGCACAGAGGAGCCTAGTGGGCTACAGTCCATGGGGTCGCAAAGAGGTGGACACGACTGAGCGACTAAGCACAGAAGCACACAGTGTATATATATCAATGTCACTCTCAATTCACCCTGCTCTCTCCTTCCCCCTTCCCCATGTCATAATCTCTATAATAACAAGCCTTCCAGTTCATAAACAGGGAACATCTCTCCATTTATTTAGGATTTCTTTAGTGTCTTTTAAGAAGTCTTAATCATTTTCCCTGGAGAAGTCATAGACACCTCTTTTTAAACCAGTTTCTAGATACTTGACAATATCTTTTTTCAAATAAAATTTTATCTTCTACCTGCTTGTTTGTGCAGAGATACAATTGAAACACATATATTTCATGTTCAGCAGTTTTACTAAGCTTTCTTAATTAGCCTTAATAATTTATTTGTAGATTCTTTTGGACTTAATTTCTTCCCATTCACGTTATGTGGGAATAATGGCCATTCAGTTTTTTTCCTTTCTGATCCTTACATATTTTCCCCCTAGCCTTCCTGCACTGGCTAGGACATCCAGTACTACCTTGAAAAGAAGTCATGATAATAGGCATCTCTGCCTTGTTCCTGTAGTGAAAGGGAAGGATTTAATTATTTCAAATGTAGTATTAGTTTTGCTGTGGCTTTTTCTCAAGCTGTCTTTCATCAGATCCTGGTCTCTCTGTGCTGGTCGTTTCTTCAGCTCTGTCTTCTAGGGCACTGATCTTCTCTAAATCTCTAATTTCCTGTTCACCCAAACCATCAGAATCTTTAATTTTGTTTATTGTATTTTTTATTTCTACAAGCTCTATTTGGTTGTTTTTCAAATATGCTAGGTCACTTTCTATAGGTCCTTCTTCACAAATCATGCATGTGTGCTCAGTAGCTTCAATTGTGTCTGACTCTCTTGCAACCCCACGGACTGCCGCCTGCCAGGTTCCTCTATCCATGGGATTCTCCAGGCAAGAATACTGGAGTGGGTTGTCATGCCCTCCTCAGGGGATTGTCCCATCCCAGGGATGGTACCTGTATCTCCTGCATCCCCTGCAGTGCAGGTGGGTTGTTTAACATTGTTATTTTTGTTCAGTCGCTCAGCTGTGTCCGACTCTCTTTGATGCTATGGACTGCAGCTTGCCAGGCTTCCCTGTCCATCACCATCTCCCCGAGTTTGCTCAAAATCATGTCCATTGAGTTGGTGATGCCATCCAACCATCTCATCCTCTGTCGTCCCCTTCTCCTCCAGTGTTCAATCTTTCCCAACATCAGGGTTTTTTGCAATGAGTCAGTTCTTCACATCAGGTGGCCAAAGTACTGGAGCTTCAGCTTCAGCATCAGTCCTTCCAATGAATATTCAGGGTTGATTTCCTGTAGGATTTACTGGTTTGGTCTCCCTGCAGTCCGAGGGACTCTCTAGAGTCTTCTCCAACACCTCAGTTTGAAAACATCAATGCTTTGGCACTCAGCCTTCATTATGGTCCAACTCTCACATCCGTACACAACTACTGGAAAAACCATAGCTTGATTTTACAGACCTTTGTTGGCCAATAATCTTTGGTAATCCAAATGAATAACTGAGGCCCTCGCGAGTCTATTTTTGTTGTTTTTGTTTCTTCTGATTTTCACTTGGCTCTCTGAAAGTGTTAGTTGCTCAGTCACGGCTGACTCTTTGCAACCCCATGGACTGTAGCCCGCCAGACTCCTCTGTCCATGGAATTCTCCAGCAAAGAACACTGGAGTGGGTTGTCATTCCCTTCTCCAGGGGATCTTCCCAACCCAGGGATCGAGCCTGGGTCTCCCACATTGCAGGCAGATTCTTTACCATCTGAGCCACCAGGAACAACTCTCTGGGTGGTTGATTATTTTTTCTTGTCTGATGCTCATTATCGTTGAAAATCCTTTGTGGGTGTTCTCTGAGGCCTGACAGGAAGATGCCTTCCTCTGGAGAGGACACACACTTGCTCTGTTCAGGCACTAGGGGGCACTCTCAATCTGGGCCCACTTGAAATTAAATCCAGCAAGCTGGAGAAGGCGAGGGTGGGATGATTTGAGAGAATAGCATTGAAACATGTATATTATCATATGTGAAATAGATCACCAGTCCAGGTTCGACGCATGAGACAGGGTGCTCAGGGCTGGTGCACTGGGATGACCCTGAGGGATGGGATGGAGAGGGAAGTGGGAGTGGGGTTCAGGATAGGAAACACACGTACACCCATGGCTGATTCACGTGAATGTATGGCAAAAACCACCACAATATTGTAAACTAATTAGCCTCCAATTAAAACAAATAAGTTTAAAAAAAAGATTGCAGGGAGAAATATCAATAACCTCAGAGTGCAGATGATACCAACCTTGTGGCAGAAAACGAAGAACTAAAGAGGCTCTTGATGAAAGTGAAAGAGGAGAGTGAAAAAGTTGGCTTAAAACTCAACATTAAGAAAACTAAGATCATGGCATCTGGTCTCATCACTTCATGGCATCTGGTCTCATCACTTCATGGCAAGTAGATGGGGAAACAGTGGAAACAGTGACAGACTTTATCTTTTTGGGCTCCAAAATTACTGCAGATGGTGACTGCAGCCATGAAATTAAAAGATGCTTGCTCCTTGGAAGAAAAGTTATGACCAACCTAGATAGCATATTAAAAAGCAGAGACGTTACTTTGCCAACAAAGGTCTGTCTAGTCAAAGCTATGGTTTTTCCAGTAGTCATGGATGGATGTGAGATTTGGACTATAAAGAGAGCTGAGCACTGAAGAATTGTTGCTTCTGAACTGTGGTGTTGGAGAAGACTCTTCAGAGTCCCTTGGACTGTAAGGAGATCCAACCAGCCCATTCTAAAGGAAATCAGTTCTGAATATTCATCAGAAGGACCGATGCTTAAGCTGAAGCTCCAGTATTGGCCACCTGATGTGAAGAACTGACTCATTGGAAAAGACCCTGATGCTGGGAAAGATTGAGGGAAGGAGGAGAAGGAGATGACAGAGGATGAGATGGTTGGATGGCATCACCGACTCAATGGACATGAGTTTGAGTAAACTCTGGGAGTTGGTGAGGGACAGGGAGGCCTGGCGTGCTGCAGTCCATGGGATCTCAAAGAGTCAGACACGACTGAGCAACTGAACTGCACTGGATGGATTCAGGTAATTTGGACCAGCCAGGTGATGGGAATTGTGGCTGCAGACCTAAGGGACAGCTAGACTGTGGCTTTTGTACCCTCCTGCACTGTTCTGTGCTGTGACACTTGCCTTGCAGTCCTGTGAGGGTCCTGAACGTACGAGCGAAGGATCTACTCTTAGTCTCTATTGTCACTGGGCCCTAAACTCTGTCCCTTTTACTGTTGGACACTGTCAGACCCAAAGCTCACATTCACCTGAGGCAAGCACAGCCCAATGGGTCGGACACCTGCCTCTCTGGATTCTGCCTTCCTTAGATCTGGGCTGGTAATTCCTCACTGTCTCATGAGCCACTTTATGCTTCAAAGACATTCTTACCACATTAATTATGCCCAGAATATTAAACTGTCTTCAGCAGAGGGGCTTGTCTGAATAAGTTTCTTCACTGTGTTCCCCAGTATAAAGCACTTGGCACTATGGAATCCAGTCTTTGACCCGTGAAGCTGAGCAAGGTCATGGCCCATCCAGACGTCAGCCTGCCTTGTGCAACAGATCCCCCTTGGCACAAGCAGCATCCTTAATACAGACCGTGGCTGTCAAGAACCCAGTGTTCCAGGAGCCCATAGCGCGTGGGGCAAGTCTCATAAAGATGCAATGTGATGCCACGTGATGAATTCTATAGCCAAGTTATAAGGTGCTGAGAGGTGCTAGGAAAGCCTACACTCTGCAACAGGAGGGGAGACCAACTCTGAATGGGAAAAACTTTTCCGAGAAGAGTGGCAAGAATAACATTTTAGCTGGAGTTTTGAAAGATTAGGAGTTTACCAGATGGAAAGGAAGGGAAGGGTACCCTGGATGAGGAAGAGCATATGCAAATACGTGGAGTCATCAAAGGCCATGAATAAGTCTTCATTCATTAACTCCC